TCATCAAATTTAATACATTCTGTGTATTAAAAGTTGGTTAGTTTTCATATATAAATTAATATTATATTAGTATATTTTGGTAGCAGTCTTTCTTGTAAACATATGTTGTTGAATATGACCGAAAGGGTAAGATTAATGATTCTAACACGAATCTTCTCAATATTTCTTACGTGTTTCTTCACTGTCGGGGGTTATCTTGAGGTTATCTTGAGATGATTTCGGGGCTTTTTAGTGTCCCCGCGGCCCGGTCCTCGACCAGGCCTCCACCCCCCAGGAAGCAGCCCGTGACAACTAACTAACACCCAGGTTCCTATTTTACTGCTAGGTAACAGGGGCATAGGGTGAAAGAAAATCTGCCCATTGTTTCTCGCCGGCGCCTGGGATCAAACCCAGGATCACAAGTCCAGCGTGATGTCCGCTCGGCCGACCGGCTCCCGGGGTAATTGAAAAATTAACTCTCCAAAGTTCATTTTCTCGTTTTTTATTTATGGTCTGACGCCTAAAAGCGTTTCGCAGTGTAGTGTGAGACGTAAATGTGAGAAGTCCTTGCGAAACGCTTTCAGGCGTCAGACCATAAATATAAAATGAGAAAATGAACTTTGGAGAGCTAATTTTTCAATTACCCCCGATAGTGAAGAAAAACGTAAGAAATATTGAGAAGATTCGTGTTAGAATCATTAATCTTACTCTTTCGGTCATATTCAACAACATAAATTAATATAATTATACATAATTCTATGTATAGTTAGGCTTAGGTTAGGTATTTAGGTTCTGTTGGTGATTATTTGTATTTGAAGCAACCCGTCCCCGACTCAAGTCCATTACATCCAGCGGTCGACCTCACAGATGCATTCATAAATTTTTACATGCTCTTCATTCAAAACAGGAATTTTCTCAAATATTAATTAATATTATTAAATATTAGCATATTGTGCATATATAGGCATAGGTTAGGTCAGGTGTTTAGGTTCTGTTGGCGATTATTTGTATTTGTAGTACGTGGGTGAAGCATTTACAGCGTTGTGGTTCGAACAAAATTTGTCAGTGAAGCACTTGTTCCGGAAGTGTTCGAACGAAATCAGTTGTGAGTCGTGTGTAAACCGATTTTCATTCATGCACAAGGGGTTTGGCGGCTGGATTAACCAGCTTGGATCTTTGTATACAAGGACGGGCTGGACCGCGACAGGCAGCCCGTCCTCCAAAGACCCAAAAGTGATTCCATGCCCACTTTTGGCCCCCTGTTGCTCCAGCGACAGGAGTGCGCACCTTTTCGAAGCTACAAACTTCGATGAATCTGAACCCAAGACATCCTGAATGGGAACATTGATTACTGTGATGTTCACGAAGAACTAATTTTGCCGGTGAAACTTGAGTGTGTGTGTTTGATGTATAGTGTGACTTGAGTGTGTTTGATGTATAGTGTTACTTGAGTGTGTGTGATGTACAGTGTGACTTAAGGGTTTTTCCATATTTCTCTATCGGCATCTTTCATGATTGGAGATAAGAAGTCAACACAATGTTCTTAACCTTTGTCTGGTCCGCGGAGAGCCTTGAGAATCTTTTGGAAACTGTGGAACACGTTCATGGTAAGATAAACATTAAGACACAGGCGTACATCCTCCCTAACACACACACAAACTACACTTGTAACTATCACAGTTTGAAGTGTAGATATGATAGAGCCCAGTAGGAGGAGACCTCGGACCTCGGCGGTCCGGGAGCCGGTCGGCCGAGCGGACAGCACGCTGGACTTGTGATCCTGTGGTCCTGGGTTCGATCCCAGGCGCCGGCGAGAAACAATGGGCAGAGTTTCTTTCACCCTATGCCCCTGTTACCTAGCAGTAAAATAGGTACCTGGGTGTTAGTCAGCTGTCACGGGCTGCTTCCTGTGAGTGGAGGCCTGGTCGAGGACCGGGCCGCGGGGACACTAAAGCCCCGAAATCATCTCAAGATAACCTCAAGATAACCAGTAGGCTGAGGAACCTGTACACCAGTTGATAATTGAGAGGCGGGACCAAAGAGCCACAGCTCAACCCCCCGCAAGCACAACTAGGTAACTAGGTAAGAACACACACACAAGTTTTAGCAATTAAGGAACTGTGGAAAATAATTATATTTTTGCCTCCGTGCCCTGGAGCAGTGAAGAGGTCCAGTCTCCACCACCGGTTAAGAACCCAGGAGCTAGAGCTCTCATTATCCTTCATTGTGTATAATGAAGGCGTTCAATCCCCGACCGTCCAAGTGGTTGGACACCATTCCTTCCCCCCGTCCCATCCCAAATCCTTATCCTGACCCCTTCCCAGTGTTATATAGCCGTAATGGCTTGACGCTTTCCCCTGAAAATTCCCCTTCAGGTATATTGTTACATCTTGTGTGGTATGAAGGTTGCAATTTTACCATAATTCCTTTTACCATCTGGACACATCAGAGATACATGGACACAGTTCCATTACTGTGTCCCCGCCTTGACAATGTTGCATCGACAGTAAATCGACTGTCCGGTAATTTGTGTTGATACAGTATTGTGGATATATATTACACATTTTCCTGTCGACTTGACCGGTCTTGACGTGCTACCTTTGACAATGTCATCAAAGCATTCTTCCTGAGTCTCCTCCTCCTCCTCCTCGCCCTCCTCCTCTTCTGCTTCACCGAGTTCTCCACTGTTCCTCGTCCACTGCTCATTTTTTAATGTTAAAGTTTTCTTCTCAGTGAGGCACCAACCACTATACACACACAAACACACACACACAAGTTCAGGGAGACATGATCACCACATACAAAATTCTCAGGGGAATTGACAGGGTAGAGAAGGATGCATTATTTAACACGGGTGGTACGCGCACAAGGGGACACAGGTGGAAGATGAGTGCCCAAATGAGACACAGACACATCGATATAAATAACAATGGAAATGTTCGTTTGTGCCTAACCGCTGATCTCCAAAAGTTCTTCACCGATTGCTTTTAAATTTTCACTCAACGTTCCATTCGCATCCGGCCAGGGGCCAGATTCACGAAAGTACTTACGCAAGAACTTACGAACGTGTACATCTTTCCTCAATCTTTGACGGCTTTGGTTACATTTATTAAACAGTTTACAAGCATGAAAACTTCCCAATCAACTGTTGTTATTGTTATAAACAGCCTCCTGGTGCTTCGGAGCTCATTATCTGTTTAATAATTGGAAACAAAGCCGCCAAAGATTGAGAAAAGATGTATAGGTTCGTAAGTGTTTGCGTAAGTGCTTTCGTGAATCTGGTCCCAGGTTTTTATATACATACTATATAGATGTCACGTCTGTGACGTTAAAAAATACATGTTTTTTTCTGAAAAAAACTGTTTTTTCATGTGAGGGAAATCTTCGAAACCTCTTGACCGATTGCGCTGATATTTTAACACAACGTTGCATTCGAATAGGCACGTCTTTTTATATACCTACTATATAGATGCCACACCTGTGACAGGTAAAAACATGCGTTTTTGAAAAACAGCGCCATCTGTTGCACATAATAGCAGCATGCACACTATACTAAATATGTCACGAATTCCATTTCAATGTTTCCAATTGCATTGATAAATTTTATTTTCATAGATTTCGATTTATTTTATTTTGTAGTGAATTATTTTGTGTGACATTGTGTTGGAATTGAGCTGTGTTGTTTACCATACCGTTCATTTCGTGAGTATAAGTATAGATACCACACCTGTGACAGGTAAAACTATGCTTTTCTTGAAAAACAGCGCCATCTGTTGCATATAAGAGCAACTCACATGCTATACTAAATATGTTACAATTCCCTTTCAATGTTTCTGATTGCATTGATAAATTGAATTTTCATAGATTTCTTATATATTTTCATTTTAATTTAATTATTTTGTGTGAATTACGTTAGAAATGAACTGTGATGTTTACCATACCGTTCAGTTCGTGAGTATAGTTTATGTTTTGATTTTTTCATATTTTCATTTTATTTTTTAACTGTTTTTCTTATATTTCAGTGATGGGAACTTCAGATCACTTGATGTTCCCAATTTTCTGATGGGAACATCAGACCATTTGGGAAGGCATCGGACGAGGGAGTGGGGAATGGTGGGGATGACGAGGGGACGGAAGTGAGAGATGGTGGGGAGGACGAGGGGACAAGGGAGGGGGTAATGGTGGGGAAGGACGAGGGGACGGGGGAGTTTGGGATGGTGAGGACGAGGGGATGGGGGAATGGAGATTGGTGGGGAGGACAAAGGGACAGGGGACTGGGGCATTATGGGAAGGAAGAGGGGATGGTGGAGTGGAGAATGGTGGGGAGGAGTGGGGGACAGGGAAGGTTGCTGAGCCACAGCAACGCGTGGGCGGGTACTGCTAATTAGAAATAACTTTATCAGTGTCAGAGTAATTACTAAATGGAATTTACTGTTAATGGGAAGTGATGTGGTGGAGGCTGACTCCATACACAGTTTCAAATGTAGATATGATAGAGCCCAGTAGACTCAAGAATCTGTACATCAGTAGATTGACGGTTGAGAGGCGGGACCAAAGAGCCAAAGCTCAACCCCCGCAAGTACAACAAAGTGAGTACACCGAGGCAGCCATAGAGAACATCACAAACCTCCAAAACTGACGGAACTCCCGCATTCCAGTGCACTTTATACAACAAATTAAAAAATCAATTAAGAAAACTTCTCGTTCCATCACTATGGAAAATAGTTTAAAAGTGAAATAATTACAAACATTCCGTCACTACAATGCTTTAAAATTATTGAAAAACGTTAAAGAGCCGGTAGGTGGCAGGCCAGACGTGCATACATTGCAAGTGCCACAATTGCAAGTGCCACAATTGCAAGTGCCACAATTGCAAGTGCCACAATTGCAAGTGCCACAATTGCAAGTGCCACAATTGCAAGTGCCACAATTGCAAGTGCCACAATTGCAAGTGCCACAATTGCAAGAAAAAGTTTGGTTGGACAATAAGAACCTTTCAAATAAAATATGCCAGACCTGTGATGACGCTGTTTAAGGCGCCACGACTCAATAGGGTGGAACGCCATTGTGCGTTATCTGCTCCATTTGAGCCGGGCGAAATTTGTCAGCTAGAGAATGTGTCTGGGCTTGAGAAAGTTCCTGTGTTAGAGAAAGTTCCTGAGCTAGACAAAGTTCCTGAGCTAGAGAAAGTTCCTGAGCTAGAGAAAGTTCCTGTGCTAGAGAAAGTTCCTGTGCTAGAGAAAGTTCCTGTGCTAGAGAAAGTTCCTGTGCTTGAGAAAGTTCCTGTGCTTGAGAAAGTTCCTGTGCTTGAGAAAGTTCCTGGGCTTGAGAAAGTTCCTGGGCTTGAGAAAGTTCCTGTGCTAGAGAAAGTTCCTGTGTTAGAGAAAGTTCCTGAGCTAGACAAAGTTCCTGAGCTAGAGAAAGTTCCTGAGCTAGAGAAAGTTCCTGTGCTAGAGAAAGTTCCTGTGCTAGAGAAAGTTCCTGTGCTAGAGAAAGTTCCTGTGCTTGAGAAAGTTCCTGTGCTTGAGAAAGTTCCTGTGCTAGAGAAAGTTCCTGTGCTAGAGAAAGTTTCTGTGCTAGAGAAAGTTTCTGTGCTAGAGAAAGTTCCTGAGCTAGAGAAGGTTCCTCTCCTAGAGAAAGTTCCTGTGCTAGAGAAAGTTCCTGTGCTAGATAAAGTTCCTCTGCTAGAGAAAGTTCCTGAGCTAGAGAAAGTTCCTGTGCTAGAGAAAGTTCCTGTGCTAGAGAAAGTTCATGTGCTAGGGAAAGATCCTGTGCTAGGGAAAGATCCTGTGCTAGAGAAAGTTCCTGTGCTAGAGAAAGTTCCTGTGCTAGAGAAAGTTTCTGTGCTAGAGAAAGTTCCTGTGCTAGAGAAAGTTCCTGTGCTAGAGAAAGTTTCTGTGCTAGAGAAAGTTTCTGTGCTAGAGAAAGTTTCTGTGCTAAAGAAAGTTCCTGTGCTAGAGAAAGTTCCTGTGCTAGAGAAACTTCCTGTGCTAGAGAAAGTTCCTGTGCTAGAGAAAGTTCCTGTACAAGAGAAAGTTCCTGAGTTACAGAAAGTTCCTGTGCTAGAGAAGGTTCTTGTGCTAGAGAAAATTCCTGAGCTAGAGAAAGTTCCTGTGCTAGGGAAAGTTTCTATGCTAGAGAAAGTTCCTGTGCTAGGGAAAGTTCCTATGCCAGAGAAAATTCCTGAGATAGAGAAGGTTCTTGTGCTAGAGAAAGTTCCTGTGCTAGGGAAAGTTCCTATGCTAGAGAAAGTTCCTGAGCTAGAGAAAGTTCCTGTGCTAGAGAAAGTTCCTGTGCTAGAGAAAGTTCCTGTGCTAGAGAAAGTTCCTGTGCTAGAGAAAGTTCCTGAGCTAGAGAAAGTTCCTATGCTAGAGAAAATTCCTGAGCTAGAGAAAGTTCCTGAGCTAGAGAAAGTTCCTGAGCTAGAGAAAGTTCCTGTGCTAGAGAAAGTTCCTGTGCTAGAGAAAGTTCCTGAGCTAGAGAAGGTTCTTGTGCTAGAGAAGGTTCTTGTGCTACAGAAGGTTCTTGTGCTAGAGAAAGTTCCTGTGCTAGAGAAAGTTCCTGAGCTAGAGAAGGTTCTTGTGCAAGAGAAAGTTCCTGTGCTAGAGAAAGTTCCTGTGCTAGAGAAGGTTCTTGTGCAAGAGAAAGTTCCTGTGCTAGAGAAAGTTCCTGTGCTAGAGAAAGTTCCTGTGCTAGAGAAAGTTCCTGTGCTAGAGAAAGTTCCAGTGCTATAGAAAGCACAGTGAACTCCTACGCCGTGAGACCATTCAGTAAAACACCTAAACTATTTGGGAAAAAAAGTCAATCAAAATAAATTTTATGAAACGCAGGCAAGGATAAAAAATCATAATTTACACCTGGAATTTTTTTTTGAGGAAATGGTTCTAAATCTGCACACTGAAATAGATCTTTGCGCTACCTAGAGGCTTAGTAAAATGTGTTAAATTGCCCATTTAAAAGTATAGTGCAATGTGAGTGCAATAGGTACTCTTAAGGAGTGTAGTAAGTGGACTTAAGAAACAAATACGAGTGCAATAGGTACTCTTGACAAGTATAAGTGCAATAGGTACTCTTAAGGAGTGTAGTAAGTGGACTTAAGAAACAAATACGAGTGCAATAGGTACTCTTGACAAGTATAAGTGCAACAGGTACTCTTAAGGAGTGTTATAAGTACTCTTAAGTGACAAGTTTCTGAACATAACAGATCGTAAGGGACCATTCTCACTTTGAAGTATATTTACTCAAAGGAGCTGATTATCTGTACAATAGTATATTAGAGTTGATTAGTAAAGACAATTTTTTGTTCACTTTAAAACCTGAAACCAACAAATAAGTTATTTGTTGGGTGTTGTTGAACAGCTGATATATGTTATTGTGAAATATCGAAATAAAATGTTATTATCTTTCTAAATTCTTGAGAAAAAAAGTGGGGTAAAAATAATTAGAAAAAAAAGATCGAGAATTATACAACAAGTAAACACAAAGCGTCTCTCGTTGAGCCTCTTACATTGTATACTAAATTATAATGAAAACTAACAAAGCTGTAATGATTTAAAAACGTGAATGAAGGTTTGAAATTTTACACCAAAATTTGACACCGAAATTAAAGTTCTAAAAACGCTCTAATTATAACGCTTCTCTAGATATAAATAACTTCTTATATATAGTTTTCAATGAATGACATTAACAAAAATATATTGTTTTAAATGTTCATTAAAAAAATATAGCTGACAACTCGTCAGTGTTGTCAATATTTTAAATGTTGTCTTTGACAACAACATAAACGAAAGCACAAAATACTCTGAGTTTTCAGATTTCTTTGAAATAACGCTAAAAATGTTGTTAAACAACTGAGTTCTATTGTGTTCTATGAAAACAAAACACAGTTGTTCGTTTTTTTTCATGTTTTGAGCGACCCGGCCTCGACTCTCTCTATATATATGTATATGTATATATATGTATATGTATATATATATATATATATATATATATATATATATATATATATATATATATATATATATATATATATATATATAAACTGAAAACTCACACCCCCAGAAGTGACTCAAACCCATACTGCCAGGAGCACTCATACGTACAGGACACCTTAACCACTCGACCAACACGACCGGACAAAAGGTGGTGATAGCTGAAGCTGAATTAGGTGATTTGATAAAATACTATGCCCAAGATTACCACTAGAGTGCCGGCGGTGGGTGGTTCAAATAGCTTCGGCTATCACCTCCTTTTGTCCGGTCGTGTTGGTCGAGTGGTTAAGGTGTCCTGTACGCTAGCAGAGTGCTCCTAGCAGTATGGGTTCGAGTCACTTCTGGGGGTGTGAGTTTTCAGTCCTGGGGACTATTCAGGCTTGTTCGGATATATAAGGGTAAGATTAATGATTCTAACACGAATCTTCTTAATATTTCTTACGTTTTTCATCACTGTTGAGGGTAGTTGAAAAATTAACTCTCCAAAGTTCATTTTTACACTCTACTATGGTCTGACGCCTATGTGGCACTAGTCGTGGGATGTAATGGAGGCTTCCACAGTGCAGTCTACACTAAGGAAACGAACATAGGAATGTGCCTTAATGCTAACAGTGACTGCCCGGGCAGGTACAAGCGGAGTGTTGACAACGCTTACGTCGACCGAGCTCTCACTCACAGCTCTGGTTGGAAGCAGGTGGACGAGGAACTCTGTAGAGTAAGGCAGGTCCTAGTCATTAATGACTTCTCTAACGATTATGTTGAAGAAGTCATTAAAATGAAAGTAACACGCAATGCAACCTCTGAAGAAACAACCAACACAACACTTGTACCTCCTATTAGATTGTTTAACAGGAACTTCTGTTCCACGGCCTATAAAACCGACGAAAGAGTACTGAAAGATATTGAAAGGAACGTTATCCCCACGGATACCAATCAGAAGATGCAACTTACAATTTACTATAAAAAACAAGAAGACCGCAAACTTGCTTATGAAAAACTCTCCAGACACCAAACGTGCCTTAAGAGAGACTAATGTCGTCTATGCCTTCACATGCCCACTTGGGGGGACTATATTAGGTGTAGAATAGCGTACATTAAGCCCAGGATTGCTTTGAGAGCTAAGGGGTAGTTTCTTTGGTTACATTTTTAGTTCATTAGAAAGTTTTTTGGGCTAATTCAAAAATAACTTTTGGGGGTCCAACAGTCCAATTTTGAAGCTTGGCCAAATTGGTGTTATAAGTACTGTCATTTTAGGCGGATAGGCTGTGTTTTTCTATTACATCTTTTGACTTTTGACGGGAGTTGTTTTCTGCCTCCTGCTCGTTTCCTTTATTCCATTTTTCTCCCCTTACGGTAAAAAAGACTTTCTACAATCTCTATGAATCTCCCGTCTCAAGCTTAGATGGGAGTATCTGTGTTCCCATTTTCTTCTATTGATATTAACTGTGAACATCCCCTTTTTCTCTGTCACTTGGGCTGGACGGTAGAGCGACGGTCTCGGTTCAAGCTGGTCGGCGTTCAATCCCCCGACCTTCCAAGTGGTTGGGCACCATTCATTCCCCCTGTCCCATCCCAAATCACTATCCCAAGTATTGGAAGGAATCCCTTGCCGTGGATGGCTTGTTCTCTCTCTCTCTCTCTCTCTCTCTCTCTCTCTCTCTCTCTCTCTCTCTCTCTCTCTCTCTCTCTCTCTCTCTCTCTCTCTCTCTCTCTCTCTCTCTCTCTAGCGACGTTAGGTCTTGCTCTTTCAAGCTTTCTTCATACCACATCCCTGGTAACTCTGAGATGAGCTTCCTTGCACACCTCTGCACCTTTCCAAGTTTTGCTATGTAATTTTTGAGGCGGGACGCATACTCTAGAACATGTTCACGTAGGTGTTGCAAATGACCTGAATGCCTGCTTATTTAGGTTCTTAAATGTTGTTCTGCCCTTAGAAGAATAACACAATTAATTAATACCAGGAATTAGACTCCTCTGTTATGAAGAGATTAATAAGGCTAAATTTACGTTTACTTTGATCTGGAAAGAGCAAGAGTAAGAGGTGAGGGGATTGAAGTATATTCTCTGAATAGAAGAGTATATCATAGGGTATAGAAATAAGGTTTTAAGTTTATCAAAACAAAATAGACGTCGAAACAATGGATATAAATTCATTAAGATTGGAGTCAGGACAGACCTGGGTAAATACTTTTTTTTTTTGAAGCAATGGGTGTTGAATTACGGAAACATTCTAAACATGGGATCACATGATTCTTTCAATTGTGGGTTAAACTAATATATGAACGAGTTTATGTGGGTTGCCCGGCTTGAGGCCAGTCGAGCCTGGCCTCAGGCCGGGGAAAAGAAGAACTCCCGAAACTCTCTCCAGGTATGTTCCAGGTATGGGTATGGGTAAGAGGTGCGTGGTATGAGCCATCAGGCTTTCTCAGTTTCATTTATTATCATTATGTTCTTATATTTTGCTACTGTAGGGTAGACTGGAGGTAGACTGCAGGTACATCTATTTCTCAGTGTTCTATTCTTCATCTATTCTCCAGTCGTTGCAGGAAGCGAACCTTCATTGTGAATTCTTCTGCTGAGGTCTCCTGTCACCGGTTCTAGCTTTCGTCAACTCAGCTGATGTTGAAATCTAAAAACCATTTCTTGGACCAGTTCTTAGTCATCTGTGATTATTTTACTCTCCTGAACTGTTTTACTTCGTCTCATTTAGCGAACATCGACACATAGCACTTAACTGAGGCTCTCTCACCTCTCACTGAGACACTCTGACTCCTATCTGTTAGGAATTCTCTCACCCACATCTATACTTTTCCACTTATTCCCGCATGCTTCTCAACTACGGAACTGCATCAAAAGTTTTTGACAGTCTAGACATACACAAATGGCCCCTCATTCTCTGATCGGCCTCATTTTCGTTACTTTATCGCTGAACTTCAGTAGGTACGCCAGGCATGATATCCCTTCCCTAATCGCATGTTGGAGGTTATCCGCTGGTGGACGGTTATCTTATCCTTGTTATTCTTTCGATTACCTTGCGGAAAATACTTGTCAGCGACACCAATCACCTGCCGTGTATATTTCCACCAGGTTCCCAGGTTACCAGGTTCCAGCACCTGTGCAGGAACTTGGTAAACTCACTGAAGATCAGAGTACGAGGGCTTTTCAAGTTTACTTTTCCAGCGTTCATTTCTCTTAGTGATGGTAGTTGTAGCATTACTCTACAGTGAGGAGTGGATATCTACAGTGAGCTATGTCATTACTACTGTGGGATAAATACTAGGGATAGGTATGATATAAGGAAATTCCATGGATTGGAACTAATAAATACTACTTTAAATAAAAGCATGCAAAATATATGAACTTATAGGTCCTTAGCTTTTACAAAAAAGTCCAGCCAGTCCTCTTGTCTTAGGACGTAATGTGGGCTACTGGTTACTGTTCTGGTATCAAAAGACCTTATTAACACTACACATTCTAGCCTGTCTCTAAAACTGCATAGCTAGTAACTAAGATTATGTCTAGTAATTATAACAACAACTAGTTATATGATTCAAGCAAGATGCATATGCAAATATGCACGCAAGTTTGGTAAATTAATGATAACTGTGATAATAATTGATAATTTATACTGATGAATTATATATATTCATATATTTATACATATCAGATTAGATGGTAAAGATTAAGACAGATGCTCACTTTAATGTGGGGATTTTCCCCGTGATATAACGATTAACAATTTT